TTTATTAGCACCAGTTCATTAGTCGTTATCTGTAATTACGTAATCATTAGCACTTCGATCCTATTTAATGCTCTTTTTTTATTTCAAAAGTTGTAAATAACTGAAGCAGGTCTCTGACCGAAACGTTTTTTATTAAAATTTTTTATATTTTTTACGTCAGAAGTTGTCCATCCTCGCAATTTTTTAAACTTTCTATATATGTTGTATGTTTGCCGCTGCAGCTTTCATCAGATAAACCAGCAGGGTGGGAGTTTTCAGTTGCCATGTTTGTGGGCCTGAATTTTTCCCTGATTTTCTTTGTCATCGTTGCTTATGTAATAATCTTGTATAAATCCTGCGCTTTAAGCTGGCGCATGGCTCAGCAAGGAACCAAAAGGGAGAAGAAAGCCAGGTCAAATGCAGTCCTTAGAAGAAGGGAAACTGCGCTCACCAAAAGAGTGTTCATTATCATCCTGACCGACTGTCTCTGCTGGCTTCCTATCGTGGTGATTGGAATGAGGTCTCTCTTGGAAAAGTCCTTCTCTACGCCTGGTGACCTAACTGTCTGGATAGCAGTGTTTGTTCTCCCGATAAACTCAGCCATTAATCCCATTTTGTACACGTTCTCTACGCCACAGGTAATTTTATCTCCACAAATTGATTTGGATAATGGTTGTATGTAGTAATACCACGCACACGGGAAATAATTGGATCATCTCTCATTTATTACGCTGTAAAGGTTTTCCTAATTACACTGATTTTGTAAATGTGAATGCTAAGCAAAAGAGAATTACCTTGGATTTTGCGCTGAAATCAAATTTAGCAATAATGCCATCTTTAGAGTGTAGTTGACGGAAGGAATATCTTTGCACAGCCTTGTCCTAACTTAATCGAACGTTTTAAGTAAGGAAGAGTCACAGATCTAAACTAGCCTTCTACTGGGTCAAAGATAGAAAAAAAAGCAAGTGATTTACAAAGGGTAATTTCCTAATTAAAAGGAAAAAAACTTCTTTTTACGTGCATTTCTGAGCGAGACAATACAAATGTCCTGGGGTCGGTTGCGAAGCTTGGCTTAAAGTGGAAGCACAAATAACCGAATGATCCTCGAAGATGAAGTGGATATTGGAGACGAAGCAAATTAAGAGTTTTTTATTTGTGTACTTCGCTGATTGCAGCACACATGCGCGAATAATTTCATTACTTGCATATCATTCGAAGGATAAAATCATGTCTTTTATCTTGAGATTGTCAGTAGTTTAAGCTGCCTGGAAATGTCAATGACCACTGGTGCTAAATATTGTCTGTTTGTTTTTCCCGTTCTCTCTTAACATATGCAGGTTCGAGGTGTTCTTAAGACCAAGTTTCAGCCGTGGTGGAACTATTTGATGGTGAAATGTGGTCGAAATCAAAACAGTAAGGGCAAGTTCCAATGACGTTTATGTAGGCATGATGTTATTCTCTTATACTTCTCATTTCATGTTTTGAAGTTACGTCTAAACTAGTTTGTAAACTAGTTTACAAACTAGTTGGTAAACTTTACAAACTAGTTGGGTTACAACACTTTCCCTATTT